AGCGCTGCTGCTGTGTTTTTACACCTATGGTACATGAATTCTCGGGATCAAGTCTTGCGTTCTTGGCTATGTACATATACATGCGCTCACTGCTTAACCTTGTTCTCTCTTGGGCTCACTGCGTCCAGTTCTTGTTTAGCCGCCTTTGTTGTCGTTCTTGCCCTTGCGGTAGCTCCAGTGGTCGTTCTGTGTCTGTCTACTTTGGCTGGTTGCTGTTACTGTACCAGTTGTCTCCCCGATCGCTGTCGTTCCAGCCTTTCCTTTGGAGTTGTTCTTGGTCTGCTTTCCTTTGTGCTGTTGCCCTTCTGCTCGGACGCTAGCTCACTGATTTCTGGATGAGTTCCTCGTCTTTCTTCTTCAGGCATTCGTCAAGCTGGTTTTCGTTAACGACCACTTGCCGCACTTCTTGTGACAGCTACGCGGTTCCAAAGCTTTCTACCTCTCACGTGCGCTCCTTCGATCCCTTTGGATATGGATTCTTTCATGTCCTTCTCGGGCATTCTCGGGCTGCTCTGTACTCCTGCGTCTTCTTGCCACACGTAGCTAAGCTGTGAACTCCACGACGTTCGGGTCCCGCTCTGGCTTTACCTGGGCTACTCTTTACTAGCTTCTCTTTCTTCTTTCCTTTAGGCTTCACTTCTTGCGGTACTTCCTGCTTCGTCTCCTGGTTGCGCTTTGCTTAAGCTTCTTCTTTGATACCTTAGTTCGCTCTCTTCTTTTTATTTCCCTTTAAGCTCCTTTGCCTCGCTGTCCGTTAGGGCGATACCCATGGTTTTCTTGAGGTACTTGATCTTCTTGTGTAGGTCTTGTAGCACAGGAGGTCTTCTTGGCTGTCGTAGTCGTACGCACTGCAAGTCGTCTAACCTGTGGTCTGTCTCTTGCTGTTCTTTCTTAAGCTTTCCTGCCTCTGCTTTTCAGCTCCTTCGCTTCGTTGACCATCTTTGTGGCTTCTGTCTCCTCGTCGCCAACTGCTCTCTTGTGTTTTTCTCTCTGTCTACTCTGTTTCTTTCTTCCTTTTTTTCAAAACCTGCTTCTCCTGTTTCTGAACTGGTGTCTGTCTCTCTTTCCTCCAAGTCTTTAAGTCTCTGCTCCTTCTCCTTGGTTTCCTTCGCTAGTGCCTCTGCTGCTTCCTCCTTTGTCTTCACTTCCTTCCTTTTCTCTAAAACCTTTGAACCTTCCCGTCAAACTCTTTCTTCTTTCGAAAACTATTAGAGTCCTTTTTCTCCTCTCTCCTCTGTTTCTTCTTGCTTTGCCTTGTTGTCCTCGGAGTCGACAGTCTACCTGTGAGCGCAAGGGTTTTTCTTCTCGTTTTTTCTTTGGGTTTTCTTCCTTTAGCTTGAACTTGTCCTCGTTTGTTTCTTCGCTTTGCTTCCCAGAACCCAAACTGTGCCACTGCTGCTGCTGTTCTCTGAGTCTCTTTTGGCCTTTCGTCCTTTCTTCTTGTTCTCTGCGTTCACGGACACGAAGAAGTCGGCTGCCATCGCCACGGCGACCGTCACAAGAACTTCGATACTGTAAGCTCGTTTCTGGGGGGCTGCTGCGTGCTGTTCACGTCGTTTCCTTGAGAGCTGCAAGCCATATACTCTGCTTCTGTTTTCGAAAAATGCTTCTGTGTTCTGCTGCTGCTGTGGAAGTATGCTCCGTTCTCTTCATCTTCTGGCTTTATCTCATGTCCTGCCTCTTGTTCTTGCACGTAATGCTGTATTTGCTGTCAATAGTGGGAGCGATTTCGGCTTCATCGACGCGGCTCTTAAGTGCTCCAACTCCTTTCTGCAGTTGGCTTGGAATGCTGTCGACAAACTCCTGACAGTGAGCTGCATGTCAGGTCTGTCGTGGACTCCGTAAAGTCTCTGGAGGCCCCAATACCAAAATAATTCTGACAAGACACGGACCCAGAAGCGGCTTGTGGAAGCATTGTCCGCCGAATCTGGAAACTTCGACTGTGCCCTGTTCCAAACGCAATCATTTCCAAGATCCTGCATTGCAACAAGGCGCTCGCCCTCGCCCAGACCTCCTGCGCGCAAGCCAAGCAAGACGCCCCACAGAAACAGGCAACTAGCGTAGAGATCGCAGCTGCGGCTGCACGTCCGAATGCTCGACTTTGTTGGATGTTTCCGATCCAGACACAGGATCTTGTGCTGACAAGAGCACAAGCTTGCACTTGCATCCATCCAACCCAAAACGGCTTGCCTTTGAGTCACCTCTGTAATACAGAGGTGACTCTGTAAGGCGAAACCAAAAATTGGACAAACATTTTTGCACCTTCGTTTAAGATTCAGCGAACAAGTGCAAGTTGCATTTCGGGTTTTTACGTGCTTTGTGCATTGCTCGTTTTAGAATGAAGCTGTTGGATGCTTTTGTTTTGATGTTGGCTTAGCTGCTGTGGGACGGTTCAAGGGATGTCTTGAGATCCAAGTCATGGCCGAAAAGCCCGGATGCGTGCTGACAGAATCTTGACGTTCAACTTCGGCCTTCACCCCCACGAGTTGCAAAGATGAGTGAGTTCGGGATTAGGTCCGAAATTTGGAGGGCTTGAGGTTCTAGATTAGAGCTTTTAAGGCGGCTTCAGGGGATGGCTTGGGGCTCTGGTTCGAATCATGGGCCTGCAAAGGGCCTAGTGCAAAAGCCGAGCCGAAAAGCAAAACCTTTTTGGAGATGTGGCAAGAAAGAGCTGGCAAGCTCCGATAAGAACGTGGGTTCGGATTGTTTCCGATACTGGAAAGACAAGCACATGAAAAGCCGGAAGCCTTGCAGCGGCAGCCACCTCTGATTGAAGATAAAATTGTGCTGCATCGGCAGCATGTGGCAGAGGTGGCTGCAAGTGCTCGATTCATGTGCACTGTCGCGCATACCTTTGTCTTCGCGAGGTTCCTTGTGCAGACTGATTCATCTGTCGCTTGGCCAAGCTCTAAGAACATTTCCTTTAAAGGGGCCATTTTGGGGTCTGATGTTGTTCCAATTATGGGGTTCGCTACTGACTGATTTTCATTTTTTTCTTGAGTGTCTGCAAACTTGTGGAATTCGCTTTGTGTGCATTTCCTGAACCATGCGTTAAAATTTGGGCAATACCAGTCTCCACGTCGGGTGAACTTCATTTGTTTCCAAACGTTGTCAAAGATTTATGCAAAGCGCTTGTGATGTTGTTTCATGTTGTCTTGGCAAGACGCAATGCAGAAACCATCAACCCACTGTTGAGGGCCATGGACTAGTCGGTAAAAAGCCTCCTTCTGGAGGCCCAGTGTTGGAAACCCAAGTTGCAAGTGAGTGGGAGTGCTTATGAGCGCATGCCACTGTCCCAGGGTTCCCGAAAGTCAAATTCCTTTGATTGAGGAGTATACTGAACATACTTTAAGTCGTATCAGGGCTCCTACTGTAGCCACGTCGTGATGCTCCGGTTTCGAAGAGAATGCACGCAGTTCATGAAATCACAAACAACATATTCAATGGTCAACAGCAGAAGCTCCTTGACAATTCAATGTAGCTCGTTCGTCAGTGGATTTCCCTTTAAGCCCTCCATGCGCCAGCTTTATGGCGCCACTCCGAGACCACCGAGCCTAGCCGAGCGGGGTTGTGAAGCAGTCTTCTAGTGAGCACAGAAACGACTGCAGGCAGAACGGATCGTACGAGAAAGGCTGTTTGCCAAGCATGTTTGAGAAATATCACTGCAAATTGGGTGTGGTCGCCAACAAAATCTTATACAGTTCATGCGAGCGCTGGTGAAACATCCCGCCAGTATATGCACTTGAGAAGACAAAACAAACATGCACTGTTGATGGATTTTGTTACAACATGTAAAATACAAGTTTTCTATTTTGGTCTTGCAGCAAATTTACAAAGTCCGTCTGTTCTGCATTTTACCAGAATTTTAGAACAGCATCTTGTTGCTGGGTTTTGCGTATGATACACGCTGATGACAAAGCATCTGCATGTTTTCAGTTTCTGAGTATGCAGTCAACAAAAAGGCATGTGTGAGACAAGTTTCTGTGCAATTTTGATTGCATTTGAACCATGGCTTGGAGTCTTGGATCCAAGTCTGAATGTCCCGCTTCGGTTGGACGTAGGCTCAAGTCGGCTCAGGTAGTCGAGGTCTTCGGGGGCCAGCTATGGGCCAGTCAGCGGCAGGCTGTTGCAGCGAAGACAAGGACACGAGCATACGGATCATGGAAAGTTTGTTGAAGCATGTCGGAAGTAGACATTCAAGGGCCTTTGGTGCTCAAAGCATGCCACGTGAGGAAGCGAGACCTTGCGGAGGGCACGAAACCATCCAAGCGAGGCCGCGGCTTGAGGAGGATGTTGAGAAGGTCGATGAGCGCAAGGCCATGGAGTTGTTTCCTGCAGATGGTGTCTTAAAGCCTTGCCCTTAAACTTTCATCGCACCTTTTCCACAGGTTCCAAGGTGGTTGAAGCACTGCTCCATTTAGATAGATTCGCCAAGTTCTGCGCTTGGTTTCTCCGACGTCCCTGAGGCGTCAATCCGCAGCTCGAAAGAGATCGATCTGACATTTTGTTTGGATGTGAACCCAGACATCATACGAGGTATTTCGTTGCGAGGGTGCTTGCGAAATGTGAGACAACTCTGGTGGCAGTCTCCTGTCGATCTTTCGCAAGACAGCCGAGCAGCTCTGTGGAAAAGATCAAAGCCTGCGTCTCGCTTCGATATATTTCTATCGCACACGTGGCAGACTTCGGGGATTGCAAAGTGCTTTGCCCTGATGCTGCAATCCACATGGACATGGTGTTTGGCACTTTGGCTTTTGACCATGACGGTCTTGGCGGTTCTCTATGGGCACAACCTCCTGACCAAGCCTGGCCGTTATGATTTGCCCCAGGGCCTCGACCCGGAGTCGGTTCCCAAAGGCCAGGAGCACATTGGTTTCCTTGTTGGGTTTAGGGTTTAGGGTTTAGGGTTTAGAGTTTAGGGGGGACTAGGTATCTAATGGGGCGACAACGAGTCAGATGACTGAGCTCGTCTTGAGAGGCCCTTGGATGGCTATTTTTAGTTTGCCATCGTGCCTCCTTGGCGTGGTGCTTGCGCTGTACCTGCCAGAAAAGATCTGGTCGTCGCCAACCTGCTTTTTAGATGCAGTCAGTATCAACCAGAACGACCAGACTCTTATGATGCAAGGCATCTATGGACTCGGTGGGGGTTCCCAAACCAGTGTTGTGTGAACTAAGTCCTACAGAGAGGGGCACCCTAGTTTGGGGAGCAACCGGAGGTGGCTTTCTGAAAGCTTCTGAAGAGCTTCGCATCCTTTGGTCGCCGCCCTATTTTTCCAGATTGTGGCTAGGCTGATTTTGGGACCGCTGTTCTTCGTTCGTTTAGGAAGGGTCCAGTTCAATCCAGTTTCAGTTGCCCGAGTGCCGACAGCCGACATCCCTATCGCAGCCACCACCCACGCAGGTGGTGTGTGTTTGAGCTCGCTGCCTACCGCACGGCGAATCCGAATGGCAAAGTCAGTTTATCGCCGGTGTTCGTGGAGAGCGCAGTGGCTGCCTATTTCTTCACTGACTATGTCATAGCTTTGCTCTTTAGCCTTGATCGTGGAGCTTTGTTTGCTGCGACTCTTGTCGGGCAGCTTCTGTCGACATTCGTCCTTTTCCGCTACTTGCGCAGAAGCCTGTCGGTGAAGCGAAAGCTCATTTCCGATTTGCAGAACTTCGAGTTGGAGAAGGCTCAGTGCCGCCTTGAGTACGACAGGGATTTCGTCTTGAGTGCCATCACCGAATGGTTTGGCAGCAAGGATACATTCACCGACTATGTGCGGAATGACCTCGGCGAGGCAGCCATGTCAGGATATATGGCTATGACGATTCCACTGCAATATCAGCTGTTAATCGTGTTGCCCGAGGTGAGCTTGAACTTAGAGAATACCATGGCGCTCTGGTGCGGCAATGTGCCTTCTGAGGTGATCGTCTCTCAATTCCTGGCCATGGTTCTGGGTTATTCGTTATGCTGGCGCATGGTGACCTTAAGTTTGGCAGTGTTCCTTTGTCAGCTGGCCCCTGCTCTGAGCCGTTGGAAGATGCTCCTCGTGGATGTTCTGATCTTCCTGGTAGCCAACCTGTGCGTTACAAGTGGGCTCTTCGCAGCTCTTGGTGCCTATCGACGTGGACTGGCCTTCGCCACAGCCTGGCTCTTTTTGGCCGGCTTGCTGGTATGGCTTTTCCAGGGCAGGGTGCAGAAGTGCGGCAGCAGACTCATCAGACTGCATTCAAGCAGCTGAATCTGGTGACCAGTGAGATGACATGTCCCAGCCAGACGGTGACAAGCTGTTGGCTCATAATTCGAAGCTGCACAGACATTTTGAATCAGTTTTGACCCGTTTCACATTTGCATTGGTCTGTCTCTGATATGTTCAATTAGAGACGTAAGTCCGGCATGGCACGGCCATCAGAATCAGTCGTAGTGATCTTGTGATGTGCGGATGCAGGCAGACCGCCAGCAGCTCCAAATCAATTTTCTGGAAATAGGGGACCCCCTAAATAGTAGGATCCTTTTTATAAGGACCCCAAAATAAGGTACCCCTCATTTTCGGAAACTTCCAAATCAATTTTCTGGAAAGGCCCTGCAGTCAGCTTGGACGGTAGGATCGCTCAGCGTGTCGGAAAGACGGGGGAAGCTTGAAGTCAAGGGGATGTGCCCGCACCCTTGCACTTTGTGGCTCAACCCTAAACCCTAAACCCTAAACCCCTAAACCCCTAAACCCCTAAACCCCCGAAACCCCTAAAAAACCTAAACCCTAAACCCTGGTTGTGTTTCGCAGCCTTTTCAGGCTCTGGTTTGTATCCGGTGCCCTGAGTGCCCTGTAGCTGACGACCTCAGGATGATGGAGAGCGGCTCCGAGCTCAGACGTTTAGGGGTTTAAGGGGTTTAGGGGGTTAGGGTTTAGGGTTTAGGGGTGTAGGGTTTAGGGGTTAGTTCAGCATCTCAAGCTTCCAACACTGAAACTACCACGTTGGTCTTACGTGCTACTTTTTTCTACGAACGCGACCCAAGTCTAGTACTATGGAGCTGCTGCGAACTCCATTGAAGCTTTAGTCCCCGGAACACTGCTCTCTTGTATCCCAAGACTGAGACGGCCCCAAGACCCCAAAAACCTAAACCCTAAACCCTAAACCCCTAAACCCCCACACCCCAAACCCTGAACCCCTAAACCCTAAACCCCTACACCCCAAACCCTGAACCCCTAAACCCTAAACCCCTACACGCCAAACCCTGAACCCCTACACCCCAAACCCTAAACCGAACACTGCTCTCTTGTATCCCGAGAGGGCCCCAAGACTCCAAAGCCTCAATTCCCTGAACCTTCAACCCTAAACACGGTTTAGGGTTTAGGGTTTAGGGTTTAGGGCCCTGAAACCTAAACCCTAAACCCCTAAATCCCCAAACCCCTAAACCCCTAAGCCCTAAACCTCTGAACACTAAACCCCTAAACCCTAAAGTAACCCCTCAACCCTCAAGTTGGAGGAGGACCCAAAGATCCCGGAGTGAGTGCCCCACTTCAGGTCGAACTCTGTCGGAGCGCTTTGCAGTTGCAGAGCGATGCCTGGGAGTGGCATCGGCACTGCTGCCGGCCCCTGGGACGATTGAGGAGTTTATGGTTTAGGGTTTAGGGCTTCAGGGGTTTAGGGTTTGGGGTCTAGGAGTCTAGGGTTTGAAAGTTTAGGGTTTAGGATTTGGTGGGGCAGGTTTTAGGGTTTAGGGTAAAGGGAGTTCGATCTTTGTCGGGTTTGGTTTTGACCTTTGCGTTTCGGGTGTTCATCCTCATAAGGCCTTTACATGTATTTTATGCTATACATCTGTAGATGTGGATTCCCATTCCCATGGTTACATATTTATATTCATATATATATATATATATACATATACACATACGCACACAGATACATGTATTGTACACACCTGCACGTGTGTTCATATGGTTATACACCCGCTCATGTATCTGAGTATATGTAAACACTGTATACGAATATGCATACATACGTGCATCCGTGCATACATACATAACTACATAACTACATAACTACATACCTACATACATATGTACATGCGCACATGCATGCATACATACTTGCATACTTGCATGCATACATATATGTACATACATA